TAATGTTTAATTTTTTATAACAGGAATGCACTCTTAGAATTTTGGGGTCAATAAATATACATACCAATTCTAAATAAAAAGGGAGAGTTGTGCCATTAAAATAAACATATATAATTGTTAATCTACATAGATTGATTAACAAAAGAATTGTTAGCAATAACTTTTTTCAGCACTGGATATGGCACATGACAGACATAACACTCTCCTTTGCTTTCCCTCATGGGTTCTTAAAATTCAATACCAATGCATTATATATTTATTTAATTAAATATCTGTAAAGATAAAAAGTGTCTATGCACAGTTTTTATGTATTTCGGGGATTGTTCTCTTAGAAAACAGATACAGAATGGTTTTACTTCTATATAAAAACATATTTTCAAATACATCATGCTTACAGAAATCATCTAGTCACAAGCTATGTTTATAACATAATAAAATCTTCCAGATAACAACTGTAATTGTCTTCATTCTAACACAGAAATTAAGTGACTAATTATGTTCAATACAATAATTTTGATTCCACCCTTTGCACACTGATAGCAATACAGTAGCATATTTTTCACAATAAGAACTTAAATCCCAACAGTGGCATAAAGCTCAGGATTAAGATTCAAACTGAATATCAATGTATGTCTCACAGTTTTTCAGTCCAACAAAACAATTCAATTCCCTTTTCATTTCTCACAGGAAGGCTTTTCAGTGTTTATAGACCTACAATTTTTGATACATTCAGTGATACTTCTCCATCATTTATGGCTTAAAAGTATGGTAATTGTTAAGGACAAGTGGGTGTAGTGAAACTTGTATACAAGGATATGTATTTATTCTTAAGGTAATGAAACACCCACATATCAAGTCAGTCTGGCTGATTTGATACTGTATTTTTCTTAAGTCATATGTAATACATACAACAAAAAAATCAGGCTAGCTCAAAAAATAATTAAGGCTAAATTAACAGTAGTATCAAAAGATGTTATTCTGAAATTTGGTTGAGGTTTGGACAAAATTTGATCACTCCAAAGACAGACCATGTGATGCATGATCCAGGTTTACCATACACTGTATTAGTATAAACTAGTCTAAAACTTGAACAAGTGCATTGGTACTATAATAAGGTGATTTTAAGACCTAATCTGAAAAAGAATTTATCCTGAACTATATACAAGTTCTAAAAATATGTGTCATATCTCAAACTGGATAAAATATTACTCATTATGTAATCAGCTACAAGGAATTTCAGGTAAATATCATTATGTAAGTTTGTGTCATATCTCAAACTGGATAAAATATTACTCATTATGTAATCAGCTACAAGGAATTTCAGGTAAATATCATTATGTAAGTTTGTGTCATATCTCAAACTGGATAAAATATTACTACAATTATGTTAAATCAGCTACAAGGAATTAACTAGGTAAATATACATTATGTAAGTTTGTGTACGATATCTCAAACTGGAATAAAATTA